CACCTATACATGGCGAACACCACGTGATTACACTTTATTCTGCACTCGCTCCCATCATAAATCTGCCAGCAGCGTCACATAACGGGGGTGAGGGACGGGGTGGGGGGGGGGTGGAAGGGAGGGGCGGGGAATACATGTCTTGTGTAGGAAAAAAAGTCCCTAGAAAAAAGTTACTGGAGAAGTCACAAATGTGTATGGAATTAACACACTTTCTATTAAATATAAAGTAACATTTAGATCAGGGGTCTCCAAACTACGGCCCGCGGGCCGAATGCGGCCCGCGAAGTCCTCTCATCCGGCCCGCGGAGATCTTTTTGTCGAATGAGAAATCGTTTGTTGGTGATGGCTGAGGAACTTTGCTCAGAAAAATTAAAGACATGCCTGGAAGAAACTGGCCCCCGAACTGAAATTTGATAGTTAATGCGGCCCTCGGAATGAAAAGTTTGGAGACCCCTGATTTAGATGATTGTGCGTAGATTGTATATATATATATATATATATATATATATATATATATATATATATATATATATATATATATATATATATATATATATGCAATTATTCCATACACGTTTATCTCTCTAATTAAATCGTGTATGATGTCACCCTGACCTGACACAAAGACCAGCACTGATCCGCTAAGTCTAGCAGACGACACCAGTGATCGATACGTCTGTCTCGTGCTGTAGCTGGCTACAGTACAGGAATCTGCTAGCGGATGTTCTCCAGACGCTCTGCTGGTTGTTCTAGGGAACAAATGTTTTACTGCAGGTAGTGTGTACGTCTTGTGATAGATCTTTCAGCCGCAGGCGTGCGATGAAGTGTCTGGTAACTTGTCATCAGTTTGTTGGCATTTAATTAATCGTTTGATAACACCCAACACATGGATAAGATGGACACTCGGATACATTGGATATATGGATAATTGGACACTCGGATACATTGGATATATGGATAATTGGACACTCGGATACATTGGATATATGGATAATTGGACACTCGGATACATTGGATATATGGATAATTGGACACTCGAATACATTGGATATATGGATAATTGGACACTCGGATACATTGGATATATGGATAATTGGACACTCGGATACTTGGATGTATGGATAATTGGACACTCGGATACATTGGATATATGGATAATTGGACACTCGGATACATTGGATATATGGATAATTGGACACTCGGATACTTGGATGTATGGATAATTGGACACTCGGATACATTGGATATATGGATAATTGGACACTCGGATACATTGGATATATGGATAATTGGACACTCGGATACATTGGATATATGGATAATTGGACACTCGGATACATTGAATATATGGATAATTGGACACTCGAATACATTGGATATATGGATAATTGGACACTCGAATACATTGGATATATGGATAATTGGACACTCGGATACATTGGATATATGGATAATTGGACACTCGGATACATTGGATATATGGATAATTGGACACTCGGATACATTGAATATATGGATAATTGGACACTCGAATACATTGGATATATGGATAATTGGACACTCGAATACATTGGATATATGGATAATTGGACACTCGGATACATTGGATATATGGATAATTGGACACTCGGATACTTGGATGTATGGATAATTGGACACTCGGATACATTAGATATTTGGATAATTGGGAAATTGGACATGAGGAAATAACTGTTACAGACTTGCAAGTGTTCAAATATCGAATATCTTTACCACATTATAGAGTCTGTGACTGAATGTCCGCTCAGTCTAGAGCGTGTATCGGCACCGTTGACGCAGGTTTAAAAAACAACGGGAAACGATCTTGGAACTTTTTGGAAGAGAGTTCTTTCTCTTGTCAGTCGAATCAAAGGTCGAGTAGGATTATTGCCCCTTGTGATCGGGGTGGTGGGTGTAGAATGGTGGTGGGATAGGGGTGGTGGGGGTAGGGGTGGTGGGGGTAGGGGTGGTGGGGGTAGGGGTGGTGGGGGTAGGGGTAGGGGTGGTGGGATAAGGGTGGTGGGATGGGGATAGTAGTGAAGGGGGTAGGGGTGGTGGGGGTAGGGGTGGTGGGGGGTAGGGGTAGGGGTGGTGGGATAGGGGTGGTGGGATGGGGATTGTGGGGTAGGAGTATTGTGGTTAGGGGTGGTGGGTGGGGGTAGGAGTTTTGGGGTTAGGGGTGGTGGGTGGGGGTAGGAGTTTTGGGGTTAGGGGTAGTGGGGGATGGTAGGGATCAGGTTAGGTCTAAAGGTGTGGGGGAAGGGGTATTTAGAGAAAGGTGATGTGCTAAAGTAGTGGGCTAGGGATGGTGGGGTAGGGGTGGTGGGGTGTTTGTGGTACACAGGACTTGCTTGACGTTTATCGGCGTTATCGCCAACTGGGCAACTGTCAGCTGTAACTGACCACTGGAGATTTCCATCACTGACTTGAGGAACCCATCACCATCTGAACTGACCACTTGATAAAGCTAGCAACCAGTATGCCATCATTTTCTACATATCTACTGGACCACAACGGGGACATGTGTACAAACGTATAAACACACACACATATATATATATATATATATATATATATATATATATATATATATATATATATATATATATATATATATATATATATATATATATATAAAGAATTATTATTTATAAATAAGAATAATTGAATGCGTCATTTCTGAATGAGCCACAACGGCTAAATGTAATTGTGCTATTTTCTTCCAGTGCGCATGCTCACTGGGCGGAAGTTCCCCTTGTGACGTTATTTTTATTTGTTCCTGCCACTCGCGAGATCCGCCATCTACTGGACGCCTGGCTGAACTTAATACGTTTATTGTGGGCCGCTGCTAGTGGTGATATAACTAGCAACCCTTGGGGGGGGGGGGGAGAAAATAGGGGTGTGGGGGTACGTAACAGTAATACATTACATGTCTTGCATTGCAAATTGTCTAGGTTGACTAGTGCATACATATTTCAACACGTCGTACTTGTCGTCATTTCTAGTTATCATTTTTATCCATCATGTATTTATCTACATGTTGTAGTTTGCCGTAGCCCCCGGTGTGTATTTAGACGTGCCCTCTAACACAGAGAACTATTTTCTTCAAGTTTCAGGATGTGTCTCAATCTAAACCCGCCGCTATAACCACTCGCATGAATACGTAAACAGCAGATGTAATCTAAACATTTTCTATGGCGCGAGGTTTTAGAATTTTATTTTATAACTACTGAAGTTACTCCATCTAAAGCGAATTGAGAAAATAAAGTCTCAGCTAATGCTCCACGTTTTCCAATTGTTTCCCATGTAAGGGCACGAAGTAAAATAAAAAGTCCCCCCCCCCCTAAGTTTCCCATTTATTTCCCATTTGTTTCCCCTCCCGACATTAGCGCGCGGACATTTTTTAGTCGGAAGCTCCGAGAGCTAGCGAAAAGGTGGGAAGTGCGGTAACGTTTTTAGCGCTGTGAAACATTCAACTTAATATCGGCCTGGCATCCATCATTATTTTATTCATGATGAATTATTTCTTCCGTGAACAGCAGAAATGGCCCACGACTTTAGTCACGGAGCGTTTAAACAAGTCTTTCTGCAAGCAATATGTAGCCAGTTGGTACTAGCTAAATAGCCAGTGTACTAGCCAAATAGCCAGTGTACTCCTAGCCATATAGCCAGTGTCTTAGCCAAATAGCCAGTGTATTAGCCAAATAGCCAATGTACTAGCCAAATATCCAATGTACTAGCCAAATAGCCAATGTACTAGCCAAATAGCCAATGTACTAGCCAAATAGCCAATGTACTAGCTAAATAGCTAGTGTGCTAGCCAAATAGCTAGTGTACTAGCCAAATAGCCAATGTACTAGCCAAATAGCCAGTGTACTAGCCAAATAGCCAATGTACTAGCCAAATAGCCAGTGTACTAGCCAAATAGCCAATGTGCTAGCCAAATAGCCGGTGTACTAACCAAATAGCCAATGTACTAGCTAAATAGCCAGTGTACTAGCCAAATAGCCAGTGTACTAGCCATTTAGCCAGTGTACTAGCCATTTAGCCCGTATGTACTAGCCATATAAAAGAATACAGGCCTAGCGTGCACTTGATAACACGATGTCTGATTACAGAAATAAATGCTCGCCTTCTATAACGTTTACATTTGTGTGTGTGTGCATGGCTGTGGTGTATTTTAAGTTCTGTGTGTGTATCGCTGTAAGGCTGTTATTGTGTGGCTGTGTGTGTGTGGTTGTGTGGCTGTGTTTAAGTTCTGTGTGTATCGCTGTAAGGCTGTTATTGTGCTATGTGTGCGTGGTTGCGTGGCTGTGTTTATATGCGGCTGTTTGTTGTTCAATTAATGAATACATTGCGTTACAGCGAGGGTTAGTTTAAACCAATCGATTCTCATGAATTAATTTAGACACGAGCGTCAAACGATGAACTCTTCAACATATCTGGGTGGGCTGGTGGGCTGGGTGTGGTGGGCTGGGGCGTGGTGGGCTGGGTGTGGTGGGCTGGGTGTGGTGGGCTGTGCTTGGTTGAGTGATAGTGGTGGGCTGGGTGGAGCTGGGCGTGGTGGAGTGAGCGTGGTGGACCGCATTGACCACTAGATTTATAAAGTCATCAGATTTATATAATAGATCTTTGAATGTTCTATTCTGCATACACCAACTGCTCTATACCACTCAACTAAATTAAATGAGTGTCACAGTGCCAGTCCTCTCTGTACTGTCGTATGTTGTTACACCAGTGTCCTAACATACAAGCAGGACATGTTTGATATGGGATTCTAATGACGTATGTCTAACGTACTCCCCCCCCCCCCCTCCGTGAAATGTGACTATAATGACGTATGTCTAGTAGACTACCCTCCCCCGTGAAATGTGATTGCCATGACGTATGTCTAACGTACTGCTCCCCTCACCCCCCCCCCCCCCCCCCGTGAAATGTGATTGCCATGCCGTATGTCTAACCTACCCCTCCCCCTCCCCCAGGTACCATCATCTGCCCGGCGACCGAATGTTTTGTCCACTGGCGTGACTCTGCCAGTCACTGTGAGTGGGGACTCAACTTCTCCACCCCCACAGACGCCCAGAGGTTCAGGGACTGCTGCTCGGTGAGTACATCTACTTGTCTTATGTAAGTAGATCTACTTGTCTTGTGTAAGTACATCTACTTGTCTTATGTAAGTACATCTACTTGTTTTATGTAAGTACATCTACTTGTCTCACGTGAGTTCATCTAGATTTGCTTTTCTTGTTTAAGTAGATCTTCGTTTCTTATATTAGTAGATCTACTTGTCATATATTAGTAGCTATAATTGTCTTATGTAAGTAGATATACTTGTCTTATATAAGAAGAATTACTTGTCTTATATTAGTAGATCTACTTGTACTTGTAAGTAGGCCTAATTGTCTTATGTAAGTAGGAATACGTAAGTAGATCTACTTGACTTATAAATGAAAATACGTGTGTTGTGTAAGTTAAACTAATTGTGTTAAAAAATAGAACAACGCAAGTAGAAGAATGCAAGTAGATCTACATGTGTTATTAAATTACAAGTTTCATTACCTATTGTTGACCCAATTAAAATGGCCGTACCTGTGTTTAGTCTAATGGCTATAGTCTACGGCTGAAGCCTCATGCCCTGGTCGTATAAGACGTATATGTGTGGACTCTGTCCACTACACAACTACTACCCCCCCCCCCCTCCCCCACACCAGACAACAACATGAAGTTAAGAGTTGGGGTGGGGAGAGAGAGAGAGAGAGAATCCACCCAACACTCAAACATGTACGATAAAAAAAAACTTAAATTAGATAAAAATTTGCCAGCCTGCCCCCTCTCTTCCCATTTCCAAGGGACAATACCCATGAGTACGTCTGTTTTGTATCGATTACTTCCCTTACATCCGTGCTAGCGTCATAAACCAATACTTGTAGTTTCAATTTTTGTTCACGCTGGGCTAAAAATAAACACGGATGTTGTAGTGCTCATCTGTGTGAATTAAAGGTGTCAGTTACAACAGGCATTTAGGCTACGGTATTTAGGCAACGGGCATTTAGGCAACGGGCATTTAGGCAACGGGCATTTAGGCAACGGGCATTTAGGCTACGGTATTTAGGCAACGGGCATTTAGGCAACGGGCATTTAGGCAACGGGCATTTAGGCAACGGGCATTTAGGCTACGGTATTTAGGCAACGGGCATTTAGGCAACGGGCATTTAGGCTAAGGGCATTTAGGCTACGGGCATTTAGGCAAAGGGAATTTTGGCAAAGGGAATTTTGGCAAAGGGAATTTTGGCAAAGGGAATTTAGGCTACGTCCATTTAGACGGACACTTGCAGACATACAGACGACAGATATCAGATACACAGACATACAGACTACAGACATACATACATACGGACATACAGACATACAGACATACGGACATACTTACAACAGACATACATTATACAGACACCAGATACACAGACATACAGACTACAGACATACAGATATACGGACATACGGACATACAGACATACGGACATATGGACATACATACTACAGACATACATTATACAGACACCAGATACACAGACATACAGATTACAGACATTTAGTCGACATCCAGACAATAGATTTTAAGCTAACAGACATTAAGACAAATCAATAGAATACAGTGAGCTTAGTCCATTGTATCTTGTTCATACTGACCTACATCACTCATTACATTGTGTTAAATACATACAGACTTACATCACTCATTACATTGTGTTAAATACATACAGAGCTACATCACTCATTACATTGTGTTAAATACATATAGACCTACATCACTCATTACATTGTGTTAAATACATGTAGACCTAATCACTCATTACATTGTGTTAAATACATACAGACCTACATCACTCATTACATTGTGTTAAATACATGCAGACCTAATCACTCATTACATTGTGTTAAATACATACAGAGCTACATCACTCATTACATTGTGTTAAATACATGCAGACCTAATCACTCATTACATTGTGTTAAATACATGTAGACCTAATCACTCATTACATTGTGTTAAATACATGTAGACCTAATCACTCATTACATTGTCATAAATACATACAGACCTACATCACTTATTACATTGTGTTAAATACATACAGACCTACATCACTCATTACACAGTGTTAAATACATGCAGACCTAATCACTCATTACATTGTGTTAAATACATGCAGACCTAATCACTCATTACATTGTGTTAAATACATACAGACCTACATCACTCATTACACAGTGTTAAATACATGCAGACCTAATCACTCATTACATTGTGTTAAATACATGCAGACCTAATCACTCATTACATTGTGTTAAATACATGCAGACCTAATCACTGATTACATTGTGTTAAATACATGCAGACCTAATCACTCATTGCATTGTGTTAAATACATGCAGACCTAATCACTGATTACATTGTGTTAAATACATGCAGACCTAATCACTCATTGCATTGTGTTAAATACATACATACCTACATCACTGATTACATTGTGTTAAATACATGCAGACCTAATCACTACTCATTACACAGTGTCAAATACATACATACCTACATCACTCATTGCATTGTGTTAAATACATACATACCTACATCACTCATTACATTGTGTTAAATACATACATACCTACATCACTCATTACATTGTGTTAAATACATACATACCTACATCACTCATTACATTGTGTTAAATACATACATTGCATAGTGTGATATTTCTCCTGTCTATATATCCAACCAACTGGACCTTGCATGTGATAGTTCTCCTCTATATAACCAACCAATTAAGCCAAACCTTCCACGATCGTTGAACCGTTGACTATTTTTCTCCTAACCTGAAAAGAATCTCCAAAAATCTCGTGCCGCTAATGGCGCGAGATGAGACAAAAATTATGTTGGCAGATCAATGAGCAAGTTGGGTTTTTAGCTGATTGGTTTTCAATGCCAGAGATTTTTTTTTAATTAGCGGTCACGTGACACAGTAGTAGATATCGTGGCTCGTGGAGGGATAGATAATGGGAGGGATAGATAATAGAGGAATAGATAATAGGAGGAATAGATAATGGGAGGAATAGATAATAGAGGAATAGATAATAGAGGAATATTTAATAGAGGAATAGATAAAAACAGAAATAGAAAATCTGATAAATGTACCATGGGATATGTTTTTTTAATGATTTAAGTGATTAATACATGTAACTTGTGTACATAATTCTAAAACCTGTTTTAGATCCTTGTATGACGAATTGGACCGAGAGACCAAACCTAATGTCTTTCTGAAAGTTTAAAAAAAAATGTTCTAATTATTCTTACTTCATGTTTAGATTTGTAAAATTATGGATTTCTTACGTTTGGTTTCTGGGAAAACGAACACTTCAAACTAGTGCACATTGAGGAAGTGCACTTCAAACTAGTGCACATTGAGTAAGTGCACTTCAAACTAGTGCACATTGAGGAAGTGCACTTCAAACTAGTGCACATTGAGTAAGTGCACTTCAAACTAGTGCACATTGAGGAAGTGCACTTCAAACTAGTGCGCATTGAGGAAGTGCACTTCAAACTAGTGCACATTGAGGAAGTGCACTTCAAACTAGTGCACATTGAGTAAGTGCACTTCAAACTAGTGCACATTGAGGAAGTGCACTTCAAACTAGTGCACATTGAGGAAGTGCACTTCAAACTAGTGCACTTACCCAATATGTTTGGTATGACGGCCTGTCTGAGTTTTGTTTGTGTGTGTGTGTGGGGGGGGGGGTATTGGGCTGGAGGTGGAACTTGACCGGTCCAAGTTTAACCTGAGGCCTGAGGTGCCGGAACTTGACCGGTCCAAGTTTAACCGGAGGCCTGAGGTGCCGGAACTTGACCGGTCCAAGTTTAACCTGAGGCCTGAGGTGCCGGAACTTGACCGGTCCAAGTTTAACCTGAGGCCTGAGGTGCCGGAACTTGACCGGTCCAAGTTTAACCTGAGGCCTGAGGTGCCGGAACTTGACCGGTCCAAGTTTAACCTGAGGCCTGAGGTGCCGGAACTTGACCGGTCCAAGTTTAACCTGAGGCCTGAGGTGCCGGAACTTGACCGGTCCAAGTTTAACCTGAGGCCTGAGGTGCCGGAAGCCGGATGCCGGCGTGAGTCGCTTAAAATGTGCGCGTGCAATTTTTATCTTCAACTCCCGAGATCAATTATTCAGCCACGTTGTACACAGCGTTGGGGGGGGGGGGGGGGTATGAGGGGAGGGGGGAGTTGTAGAGTGTTTAAAACGGGATATGGGTTGAGGTGTGGTTGTTATTTTAAAAGGGGTTGAGCTAGGGTTGGGATGGGGGATGGGGGGGGGGGTTAAAATAAAGCTGAGTAGAAATGGCCTGGATGTGTTGAAATGGCGTGTGTGTGGGGGTGGGGGTGGGGGGGGGTAACTGGGGAGGGGTATGTATGGATGTCACGTTTGACAGAAATTAGGCGGGGGGCAGGGGCCTGTAGACCAGACAACGTCTAGGCTATGCATGCAAGCGAATGCTTTCAGACACAACTTGTGCATCACAATCTTCTGTTTGAGAGTGAGGGTGGGGGGGGGGGGGGGGTAGGGGATTCGGTCTGGCAACACTCAGGTGATAAATTTTACTGTCACGTGACCATAACAAAATCACTGACGTTGGTTAGAACTAGTGAGTGTCACAAATGGAACATGTTTCATGGGATGTGTGCATGTTCACGTCATGTGCTCATCATGTGCTCATCATGTGCTCATCATGTGCTCATCATGTGCTCATCAAGTGCTCATCATGTGCTCATCATGTGCTCATCATGTGCTCATCGTGTGCTCATCATGTGCTCATCATGTGCTCATCATGTGCTCATGTGGCATCTTGTACACCTTAAATATATTATATCACATAGACCATATCCTTTACATCACACTTCACCTCACAATGTACACCACACGCTATACACAAACACAACCTTACCACCTGGGAACAACTACGCCCCCCCTTCCCCCCCCCCCCCCCCCCGGCAACCTTACTCCACCCTACAACTCTTAAATTCCAGTAACAATTAATCTCTGGTCTATGAATGATTAATGACATTGTACGTTGTCGTGTTTACTTAATCCTTTAATCATTCACGAGTTCTCCGAAACAAATGGTCAGTAATTAGATCAGTGAGCGCACGCGGTCTCAGGCTTCTCACTGGCCTATGCACGTGCTAGATCTGTGAGACTGGACGTCCACACGGTCGATCGACCAAAAGTTAGGACGTCACACGGTCGACCAAAAGTTAGGACGTCACACGGTCGACCAAAAGTTAAAACGTCCACACGGTCGACCAAACGTTAGGACGTCCACACGGTCGACCAAACGTTAGGACGTCCACACCAAAAGTTAGGACGTCCACACCAAAAGTTATGACGTCCACACGGTCGACCAAAAGTTAGGACGTCCACACCAAAAGTTAGGACGTCCACACAGTCGACCAAAAGTTAGGACGTCCACACCAAAAGTTAGGACGTCCACACCAAAAGTTATGACGTCCACACGGTCGACCAAATGTTAGGACGTCCACACCAAAAGTTAGGACGTCCACACCAAAAGTTAGGACGTCCACACGGTCGACCAAATGTTAGGACGTCCACACCAAAAGTTAGGACGTCCACACCAAAAGTTAGGACGTCCACACGGTCGACCAAAAGTTAGGACGTCCACACCAAAAGTTAGGACGTCCACACGGTCGACCAAAAGTTAGGACGTCCACATCCAAAGTTAGGACGTCCACACAGTCGACCAAAAGTTAGGACGTCCACACCAAAAGTTAGGACGTCCACACCAAAAGTTAGGACGTCCACACAGTCGACCAAATGTTAGGACGTCCACACAGTCGACCAAATGTTAGGACGTCCATATCCAAAGTTAGGACGTCCACACCAAACTTTAGGACGTCCATTGGGTCGACCAAAAGTTAGGACGTCCATACCGTAGACCGAAAGTTAAACGATTTCGACCTTTTTTCCCCCTGTGAAATTAAACAGGGTTATACTGATAATCAAATTTGTGTTGAAAATAACTGATGCCTTGCTCGTATGGGAGGAGAAGAAAGTAAATTTGAAAGAGGTGATTTTTTTGTTGGCATGTGGAAACGGACGAGGGCCAGGCTTACTCGTTTAACTGTTTTGTTTTTGTCCCGTCCCCCCCCCTCTTTACGAAATTGTGAGTTATCGATCTTGGTTTATTTCTTGCAGAGTTGTCGTTCCTATCATGTTTGTAACTAGTTGATTGATTGAGAACCATTAACTTTGTAAAATGTACACACACATCGATCATAATAAGTGGGGTGGTACATGTCAGGTCGACTATTGAACAAAGTCTTGCTGGCAACCCCCGGGGGTGGGGCTGGAGGTGGGGGGGGGGAATTGTCCACAGAAACAGCTGTGTGGGTTGATGAGTCGAAGGTTCTAGATTGTCTATCCACCAGTAGATGACGTCCTACTAGATGAACCAAATTGATGCTCCCCAAATTAATATTTGCTAAACGCCGACTGTGGGTCCATCAATATGCAAATTTTTGTTGGAGCCATTAACGAGGGACACACAGCACGAGACACCGAATGTACCGTCTGTGGCTGGGCACATTTATCTTATTGATATTCGCATCCACACGCATGCGCAGACGACAGGAAACTCCTCCATTGAAATGTGGGGACATTGCCTGAAAAGTTAGCTCAGGGATACGCAATGGGAAGGTGGCAATGGAACATTGTTTTGGAACATAAAAGCATAAAAGTGGCAAGGGAACATTCTTTTTGAACATAAAAATGGCAAGGGATTATTGGAACATGAACATAGCAAGGGAACAGTAAAGGAACAGGACTTGGAACTATAAAAAAAACACGGCAACGGAATAATCTTTAAGCATATATGTCGGGAACATAGATAGGGAACATAGCTAGGGAACATAGCTAGGGAACATAGCTAGGGAACATAGCTAGGGAACATAGCTAGGGAACATAGCTAGGGAACATAGCTAGGAAAGATAGGAATGTTTTGTGTGAGATCTAGAGTCAAAACCCCACACTTTTCACCATCGAAGTTGAGAGTTGCCGGCAGCATAGAATCTACAAATATTTAGGCAGCATACAATCTACGGATCTTTAGACTTGAAGCATACAATCTACAGATCTTTAGACTTGCAGCATACAATCTACAGATCTTTAGACTTGCAGCATACAATCTACAGATCTTTAGACTTGCAGCATACAATCTACAGATCTTTAGACTTGCAGCATACAATCTACAGATCTTTAGACTTGCAGCATACAATCTACAGATCTTTAGACTTGCAGCATACAATCTACAGATCTTTAGACTTGCAGCATACAACCTACAGATCTTTAGACTTGCAGCATACAATCTAAAAATCTTTAGACTTGCAGCATACGATTAAAGAGATCATTTGGTAGGTCTATATGTTGCTATTACGATAATAAGATTTTACAAATAAATGTAAATATGTAAATATGAATAGCTGAATTTAGATAACATGTAGTTATCGTTCTTTACAAACTTTAACCAAACCACGTTGATGTGCTCAAGTAATCTAACTGGGCTCTAATTATGAATGACAATGGCTCCAAAATAGGCTAAGATTGAGTGGAGGGGGTGAAGTAGCTGGTTCTTTAAAAAAAATAACTGCACCCCCCCCCCCTCCCCAAGGTTTGTATGTGGGGCTGATCACAGACCCCCAGGTTTGACCGGTAATTAAGAAACATTAGAGATAGCTCGAGCCTGAATCAATATGGCGGGTGGACGGACGGCCAGTGTTACTCGGGAAATGATGCAATGATGGGGGGCAGGGGGAAGGGAGGCTACTCGCGTTTCTTTTGATGAGATGAGTAGCTGGACTTGGCTTTATCAGCTGATTTCCCGAGCGTATCGTAAAACATTTATTGTAGGCGAGCCCTTGGTTAGAGTTTTTTTTTTTGCCGTTGTGTGTCACACACAGACACATGCACACACATACACATACATACATACACACACACACACACACACACACATATATATATATATATATATATATATATATATATATATATATATATATATATATATATATATATATATATATATATATATATATATATATGTATAAACGCCCCTCTCGACCTTTCCCAATGCGGAGGGCGGGGGGCGATTTTGTTCGCCTACGGCCTACATGAATAAACATATAAATGGAGGAGGAGTTAGGTAGATAGATCACCCCGGACGCCGGAATGGGTTGCCTCTGGCCCAACATTGACACTAACCTCGCCTTCTCAAAATTATGTTTTGAGATAGGCTCGGCGATTACAATACCAATCTGTTGACGATACTAACCTATGGACGATACCAACCTATTGACGATACCAAGCTATTGACGATAATAACCTATGGACGATACCAACCTATTGACGATACCAAGCTATTGACGATAATAACCTATGGACGATACCAACCTATGGACGATACCAAGCTATTGACGATACCAAGCTATTAACGATACCAAGCTATTGACGATACCATCCTATTAACGATACCAACCTATTGACGATACCAACCTATTAACAGCTAACACAACTCAAATCTTCACCTGTGTGGCCAGCTGTACAAACCGGAGCTTAAACTCACACATTGAACAAACTCACACAATCACCTCACACAAACCACTCACACAATCACATCACACAAACCACTCACACAATCACATCACACAAACCACTCACACAATCACATCACACAAACCACTCACACAATCACCTCACACAACCCACCCACACAATCACATCACACAAACCACTCACACAATCACATCACACAAACCACTCACACAATCACATCACACAAACCACTCACACAATCAACCCAATCACCTCACCGACTACATCCAGTTTCGCTTGAAACCATGGCACCGTGGGGGAATAAAAATGATGTTTGTGTGAGATGTTTTTGTGAGATGATTTACTATTGGTTTTAGATTTGACAGAAAACATTGTTCATATTTTATCCAATCTATTTCTAACAGTTTCCAACACAAAGATTCGCCAGAAAAGCTTCGTCAGCAAGTTCTCTGAGACTGAGCCCACCAAAGGTAAGTTATCCTCGTGTTGGTCTAGTTTTGACCTGCGCCTTATAAAGTTTCTTCACACTTAGTTATAACACATATGTTTTATTTATTACACGAGCCGACCCGCGGTGTATCATACGCCGCTATTTTGTTGTTTGGGGGGGGGGGGGGGGTAGCGATAGAGAGGAAGAGAGGGGACTGCAAGGCGCGCTTGCAGCTTGTTTTCTAACGGCTCCCAGAAGAGAAATATATATATATATATAGATAATTTAGTAGGGCAATGTTGCAACTACTATTTTAACTCAAGGCACTACATGAAGATTAAGGCGCACAGTTTAAAATGTTTACTGTATAAAATCGGCAGAATTATGTTTGATACCTGCATTCCGTGTATACTCTCTATTGGAAATCCCCGGTGTCCTGTATTGGAAATCCCCGGTGTCCTGTATTGGAAATCCCCGATGTTCTGTATTGGAAATCCCCGATACCCAATGCCACTTGACCTTTACTCCCCAGAGACAACGAAGTAAGGCAGCCAGCGCGTCATCGCCCAGTTCGCCCGTACGTCACACGCACCACATTACGTCAGACTTCCTGTCGGAGGACGGCTGTGAGCACACTCAGGGTAAAAGTCTTAACACACACCAATTCACCACACACCAATTTACTACACACTAATTTACCACACACCAATTTACTACACACCAATTTACTACACACCAATTTACTACACACCAATTTACCACACACCAATTTACTACACACTAATTTACCACACACCAATTTACTACACACCAATTTACCACACGCCAATTTACCACACACCAATTTACCACACACCAATTTACTACACACCAATTTACCACACACCAATTTACTACACACCAATTTACCACGCAATTTTTCTACATCCAGTTTTACTTCACACAATTTAATGTGAGAAACTATTGTTATGCTAAATTTAATCAGCCAAAAAAAAATTCAGACACCTTTTTCCCCCCAGACAAAATTGTAACTGACTTAATTTAATCCGGCAAAATATTGTAGACAAATTCAGCAGACACGATGTTAGTATACCTGATTTCCTAAAGCTTGTCTGACATAATATAAACAGACACCAGAACACTAGACACAACATATCGACACAACAGAATTTTTGTTCAGTGAAAGACAATCCACAGTTTTCAATGCCTAAATAGGAAGGCACAAACAATTCGATTTGCGAAATACACATAGAAATTGTATAGTTGTATAGTAATTGTATAATTGTATCTAATATATAAAGCTCAGTTCTGTATGTAAAAATACATGTTTGTCGTTGGTCTTGGATGGATTAAAGTGTTATAATATTATCGTGCGCATTTCTCTAAATTTATGAGTTAAAAAATTACTATTGAAAGTGTTGGGAAATAATTTTCATTTTTCAAATTATAGTAATAAATGTCGGCATGTTCATTAAACACAAGTTTTAAAAAAAATATCATCTTTTACAAAAATTCTAATTATGTCTTTGTTTAGTCCTATAGCACTTACTTCCCTTTGATAAATTAGGAAAACACAATTACTTCCCTTTATAAAACCATTGCATTTTGTGGAAAATAATTTACTTTTTAATTACTTTGTTTTGGTGTTGGGAAAAAAAAATAATTACATAATTAGCGGGGATTGATCAAGTGCAAATGTTGTAGGTATTTTACGGATAAGCTTGGAGTATTATAATTGTTCATTAAATTGAAACAGGCGCGTTCGTTTAAGTGAGTGCAAAAGACTATGAATAAGTTGGGGTACTATAGTCGTTCATTAAGCTAAAACAGGTGATTCCGCCCTGGGCGTTTATGTTCGCGTTAGTGTTTTCTTTGTGTTTAGGTGGGTTTGCGTTAGTGGTTGCGTTTTGATTTGGTTCGTTTTTGTTCTTTCTTTTTCGTTTTTGTTTGTGTTTTTTTCTTTGGGTTTGTATTTGTGTTTTTGGTTGGTTTTGCGTTTGGATTTGGTTTGTTTTCGTTTGCTTTTTCGTTGTTTTTTTTGTTGTTGGTATTGGTGTTTGTGGCTGGGTTTGTTGTTAGGTTTTTGTTTTCGTTTGCTTTTTTGTTTGTTTTTTCTTTGTGTTTGTATTGGTGTTTGTGGTTGTGGTTGGGTTTGTTGTTAGGTTTTTGTTTTCGTTTGTATTTGTAATTGTGTTAGCGTTATGTTTGCGTTTTGTTGTTTTGGTTGGTTGTGGTTTGGGTGGGCAATGCCGGGTTTATGATGATTACTAAACACACAGGTAATGGTCTTTAACAGAAAGGTTTTTCACAGAAGCCAGAGCAGGGCCTGGCCGGGACGGCTAGTAGTAATTGTATAGTTGTATAGTAATTTTTATTGATATGTTTACAATCGTCTGTAATATTTGACCTGACCTATTGTTGACCTGTTAGGTCGACCTTTTAACAGTCCGCTAATATTTGACCTGCCCTATTGTAGACCTGTTAGGTCGACCTTTTAACGCTAATATTTGACCTCTTGCAGGCCTGACTGTGATATCGACCTCCAAGAACAATGCCAAACAGGGCAGCACCAGCCCTTCCAGGGCGGGGGCTCAAAACGGAGGGGGCGCCCGGCGGTCCCAGTCGCCGCCCTGCGACTACGCCGTCATCCAGAGACGGAGACCGCCGGCCGCTGACGACTCGTGCGTGACGGTCGTCTCGTCCTCGACCTCTGCCAACCCGGCCTTCAGGAGGTCATTTCCGCTAGGTCACGTGTCTACCCTGACCATGGCCAACGTGGTGACCACCATGATGTCATCAGTGAAAGGCGGGAAGGGGCTGGCGTCAGACATCGGCCCAGCGGGGTCGGGCGAGAAAGCCGGACCCCCGTCCGCGACGTCATTGAAAAGTTTAAACGAATCCCCGAGTAACACAGCCACTCCCCCGAACATAACCACGCCCAGCAAATCAACCACGCCCAGTAAAACAACCACGCCCAGTAAGACGGCCACAAGTTCACTCAAGTACCCAGATTCTCAGATGAGGCCATCCTCGGCCATTTCCGACTTGGCCAACCAGAAGAGCAACAGCCCGAAGCACGTTCAGATCAGCGACATCGTCAGCGTCAACATCACCGGCACGTCCCTGCCCAGCATGACGTCAGTCATCAACACCTCCACCGACAAGCCCAACGGCATCCTCAAGCGCGACAACAGCCTGCGCCACGACATCGCCGCTGTCCAGAAACAGGGTCAGTTCCAGACCTCCTTTGTGGCAGGCGACGACTCCACCCTCCTCATCAGACGGGCTTCCTCAGACTCGCCCCCTCTCCCACCCCTCCAGGACGCCGACCCCAAAACCCCCAAATGCCACCTCCGTGTCGACACCGCTATCGCCAACCCCCAGTCCCGTAACACCTCCTCCTCTGAATCTCCGGAATGGCCTTCACCCCCTGAACCCCTGACCCCCCAGACGCCGCAGACGCCCAACGCCCCTGGTCAGATGACCTTCGACAGCGACACCATCCAGAAGATGCTCCGCTCCCTCCCCTCCTCCCCCCTCGAGAAAGACTTCAACAACGACCCTGACCTTGGCTTTAACGAAGACTTCAACATCTCAGACGACAGCCAGCAGACGAGCCAGGAGCACGCGCGCCGCGGCTCGCGCCTGTCCCGGACCAAAAGTCTGACCGTGCACGACCGCACCAAGGCCAGCAGCAACCCCCGCCGCCAGCAGAGCATGGACACCCCCGCGGGGGGTCAGGCCCAGCGAGCTGACCCCCACAAGCCCCGGATGTTCAACAAGATCGCCCTGGAGAAGGAGCTGAAGAAGCGGAACAAGAAAATCGCCGCCAACTACCCGGACAGCGGCATCGGCCTGACGGTGGACGGCGGCCAGTCCACGCGCTCCGACCCCAACTCGGTGCCTGTCAAGGGAGGTAAGCTGTTGGATGTGTGTGTGTGTGCGGGGAGAAGGTGGGGAGCGATATAAAACTACACACACAGCCAAACAGCTGTAACAATTAATTTTAACACAGACACCATATTTTTGTGTATCGATTTGTTACGATAAACTGGTTATACCAACGCAGAAACAATAAATCAGGATCTAACGATGGAAGGGAAATAACCATGAAAATATTGGACGCGAATGATAATTTTGGTACTTTCCCTTGGTTTGATAAAAGATTCCCATTTACAAAAATTTAAATTATTTCAACAATCGTAAATTTAAATGAAATGTTTAAATAACAACCATCGATATATGTATATATATATATTTCATTTTTAAGGGTAACTAGTTACTGTGATGAAACAATTTATATAGACTAAAGTAGAAACAATTTATATAGACTAAAGTATAAACAGACCCTAAAGCTCATATAGAGCTACACTCACAAATAGTCAACACAACGCTAAACACCAACATACAAATAGCCACTTTTATATAATCACACATTAAGACACAGCTACACACAAATAATGACACACATTAAAACAACTACACACAAATAAATACACACCAACACAGCCACAGGACTATGGAGCATTTATCTTGCACCCCACACACCAATTTCAGGCAACATATTTAACTTCAATTATTTTAAGCCAGTGAGCCGACTTTATACGAACACTTAATCCAAATTTTTTTCCGCTCTCGTTCGTGGGTCATGAAAGATTTGCGGGTTAGGTTTTTAAAGTCCTATCTGTCACGTGGTTTTCATTAGCTCTCTGTGGTGAAATATCTTATGTCAAGGAAGGGAAGTAATCGAGTGGTATTTTTTAAGGGAAGTAATCAATCTAAATCAACATTATCAGATAGTTTTTTTTCCAAAAACAATTTCCTCAGATTTTCTGGTAGCTAGCACCTTCAGCTTTTGTCTTGATTATTATTTTGTTTAGCCTGAACAATTCTGTTCCTCGCCCCTTCTCAAGTCTAATTATTGTTTGATTTTAAAGTATACAGCAACAGAAAGGTGAAGTTCACTTCTTCAATTATTAATAGATATGAGTGGTAATTCTCAAATATTTACCACGAGTGTTCGTTACTTCTTTTTTTTGTATCTTGGACTAAAAAAGCAGCTGATAAAACATTCCTTACAACTTGAATGTGTATTTAATGTTTCAGATTTATCTATTTTACTTGCACGTACCCTGTGTAAAATACAGGGGCTGGTCACATAAAATGTTTTCAAACATTAAAAAAAAAAAAAAAAAAAAAGACCGAGGGTCGGAGCAATGACTGACCACACACAGTTTTAGCTAGAGAATTGTGTGGTCAGTGTACGTAGCTGTCGGTTTTGATGTGTGACGGATAGTTTTGTACTCGTTGATTACACAAATTAATTGACCTGATACTAAAGCGTATCTCTACATCCATGCTAATTCACCCCCTCCCCCCAATCCAACGCACACAAGCACGAAATGTACTGATATAATTAAAAACCCCTTCCATCAGCCTATAGCTAAACTGTTAACTACTCAACCACCAGAGTACTTGACCTAGCATCGCGTAAAGCCAATGCTCTGTGACCGACTGCTGATGTAGTCGTGTAGCCTAATCCTGACGCTAATCCTAATCCCAACTTGTGGCTGTTAAAGACTTAGGCCAGTCGGTACAAATGCCATCCTTTGGGGATCTAGACGACAAGCTTAGACTTTTAGCGGGGGGGGGGGGGTGTACAAGGGTGGAGTGGGGAAATCCAAGGGTGGGGTAGGGGCATGCAATGGTAGGGTGGGGAAATCCAAGGGTGAGAGGGGGTATGCAAAGGTGGGGTGGTCAAATAATAAGTGTTGTGAATCGAAGAAGTTAGAACATGTTCACCATTACAGGCTATGCTTATTTTCTTTCTTCTAACTAGAGCTTTGTTATTATATTTAAACCTAGAAATGCTCCATATACTTCAGATTTCTATTTTTTAAAAATCACGATATTTCTATTTGAAACAAATTCTCTCGATGAATGTATGTCAGCAACACATTGTTTTCCAGCCAATCAAATAGCACCATTGTATTTTTTAAATTGGTCCATGACCAGGAATAGACCAATCCAAGTTGTGTCTTTACTGAGTTGTTTTATAAGCTAACGAGCGATAGCGAGGAAGAGAGGGGACTGCAAGGCGCGCGCTTGCAGCTTGTTTTCTAACGGCTCCCAGAAGAGAATTATATATATAGATAAATACCAAAACTCCAGTCACTTTATAAGTCATTTTCTCGCGTCACTTTACACAAGTCAATTTGTCAAAGCTACTAATAAAAGTACAGCTTGACAGGGCTGAGTTAATGCCCGTCGCGGCGTGCACGGTCGTGCACCCCCCCCCCCCCCCCCCTCTGTTTTATTACATTTTATTCACATCGTATACTAATGGGGAAATTTGTAGTATTATAATTGTTCATTAAATTGAAACAGGCGCGTTCGTTTAAGTGAGTGCAAAAGACTATGAATAAGTTGGGGTACTATAGTCGTTTATTAAGCTAAAACAGGCGATTCCGCCCCGGGCTAGACTGAGCACTTTGCGTTTATGTTCGCGTTAGTGTTTTCTTTGTGTTTAGGTTGGGTTTGCGTTAGTGGTTGCGGTTTGATTTGGTTCGTTTTTGTTTTTTGTTTTTTCGTTTTTGTTTGTGTTTTTTTCTTTGGGTTTGTATTTGTGTTTTTGGTTGGTTTTGCGTTTGGATTTGGTTTGTTTTCGTTTGCTTTTTCGTTTTTTTTTTTTTGTTGTTATTGTTGGTATTGGTGTTTGTGGTTGTGGTTGGGTTTGTTGTTAGGTTTTTGTTTTCGTTTGCTTTTTTGTTTGTTTTTTCTTTGTGTTTGTATTGGTGTTTGTGGTTGTGGTTGGGTTTGTTGTTAGGTTTTTGTTTTCGTTTGTATTTGTAATTGTGTTAGCGTTATGTTTGCGTTTTGTTGTTTTGGTTTTGGTTGGTTGTGGTTTGGGTGGGCAACGCCGGGTTTATGATGATTACTCAACACACAGGTAATGGTCTTTAACAGAAAGGTTTTTCACAGAAGCCAGGACAGGGCCTGGCCGGGACGGCTAGTATATATATATATATATATATATATATATATATATATATATATATATATATATATATACATATGCGCGGACAGAGAATTTAATCCTCCAGGGGAGATAAGAAGAAACAAGGGAGACGACATCGTCTGGCCCAATAACTTAATCGTTGTATTTAGTTTCCCGAAATTCTATTCGTTTTTGTTTGATATTTTAGGATTATGGGATAATGATGGGATATTTCTATAGCGCTGATAACAGTGTGTTGGCACTCTAAGATATAGGGCGGTGAATGGGGGAAGGGAATGATTGATGTGTGGTAGGGGGGTAGGAAAAGTTGAAGTTGTCTGTCCAGCACAAGAGGCCGGTTGGTGTCTTGGTCAGGGTGACAACCACACAATTACTCTATTAAACATTAGAACAAACACACTACCACACGCCACATAACGCACCCACATACATCCACACAAGCAACAACACACCATACATACAACAACACAACACAACATACACATAACCACACACACACACACCATACATCATAGTCACATAAGTTAGCCACACAACATACACACAACCACACACAACATACACACACCCACACACAACATACACACAACCACACACACCATACACAAAACCACACACACCATACACATAACCACATACACCATACACACAACCACATACACCATACACACAACCACACAAACCATACACACAACCACTCACACCATACACACAACCACTTAAACCACACACCATATAACAACCACACATACATAAGTCCACAGATAAGCTTCAATCGCAAACTAAGCGAATATTGATCTCATAGCATCCAGTGCACTTCATTATAAGAAATTATGGGATAGGATAAAAGATCATAAACCATCACGCTAGCAATCAAGAGAAATAAAATAAAAAAGCTGTGCTTGTTAGAATTGAGAAGGTTAACATTTTAATCTTAAAAGGTTAAAATATTAAAATTTAGAACGGTGAAAGTTTAGGAATCAAAAGGCTAAAAAAAAGTTTGTTACTCTTCACATCAAAGTCGAGCAGCCGACGATACAAGTTTTTTGGTTGGGCTAATATAAAACGTTTGAAGTCTGCTAGTTGCAGGCAGGACGTGGCGTGTTGTTTTTGGAGCAGACGGTAAAAACATCATCGCTCACCCTAACACGAAAACAGCTGCAGAAAATTCCAGAAATTACCGCACGATTCGCCAGCCCGAACAACCAGCCGCAGATCACTGGGTACAGCAGATCTCTCGTCCTATCACTGAGTCTTGTCGTGTACTGATCCAACGTTCATCTATTTCATTAATCTATTCAAGCTATCTGCTCATTCATCCGTGGCCTGTTTATGTTTTTATCTAATTGTGTGACAGATTAGATTCAATTAAGCTCTGTCATCAAGTCCGCCTGTATATTCATTGGTCGCATTGTCTGTCTATGTGTATTTCCGTCAGTTTATCTTTAAATCTATATATCTGTAGGTCTCTTTGTATATCTTTTGAATGTCGATATGTTCGTCTGTATAACTGTATGTTTGTCTGTATATATGTATTTCTGAAAGGACATCTGTATATGTATTTCTGTCTATTTGTATAGATATGTATATGTATCGTATTGTCTGCTTGTCATATGTATTATCTGACCTAAAGTGTGTAGTTATATCTGTATTTCTATATGAATATATGTCTGTATGTACATATGTCTTCCAGACTATATTTTATGTCTTTGTGTGTTTGTCTCTATTTATGTCTTTCTTTATTATCTAAATGTCTGAATGTGGGAATTTCTGTATTCTTTTTATTGTACACCTGTACGTCTGAATATATATTTATTTTATCTGTATTTCGTATTGTTTGTCTGTATGATGGTATATTTGTATGTCCTTATGTCTGTATGTCTTCTAATGTTCCTTTA